GCTTGGTCAATGCCCAAATAGGTATCCATCATCAATTATTGTTTACATGGTATCCAGTCAAAACGCCACCGGTGGCGAATTGATTTCGAGCGGTGGCAAGTTTTGTGGTGCGAGTTTCTTGTGGTGGCAAATTGACCGTGAACCGTTTATATTAATTCATCGTTCATCAATTACCATATTCAAAACTTTTGATCTATGAGCATCAACTGGCCTGTCACTTTAATGCTGGAGACCTTCCACTTTTTCAACTCAAATATAAAGAGACCTCCTCAGCGAAAGATACAAAAATACTTGTACTCTCCTTCCATGTTGAGAAGACAACTGAACTATTGTGTTGAGTATATGATATGCAGATGCACTCTAACATTTTTAATTTGTTGGCCTGTTAGCAAGTTACCCTCTGCAAGTAGAGAACAATGTGGCCAACTGACTCACAAACATCATCTTACCAGTCAAGAATTTTAAAAAAAGACCAGGGAATTTAAGTGTAAGTCTTAAATTTTTCACTAATTATAACTTAATGGCACATGGGTGCCTGTAGCAAAGTTCACAACAGAAATCTTGATATGCGAAGGGTGCATAAAAATTTTAGCCCTCTACTAGGAGAAAATTAGAGTTTTTAACACCAAGCTCTTAGTAATGTGGTATGTGAACTCAATTTGTCTTCAACTGGTGTATAATAAATCATTATTCCAAATCACTATGGTCACAATCATTATGATACTTCATCAACCTCTGTTATTCATATTTTTACATTGAAACAGTTAGATTGCATATTTTCAAGTTGTCAGACCTCATTCCTAGAGTTTTGCTCAAAGCTGGTCAATGTTTCACCTTTTTAGGTCTATAACAGCATTTCTAAACCACCTGATTCAAAAGTCAGTTTCCAGTGTGAATTTTTTGTGGGATTATCTCTGAAGCAGCCATGGTGTTTTTATTCTGTTTGAAAAAATGAGTCCCATTTACTAATAATCAATGATTGACTGTCCCTTCCTTTCGAAGCTGAAAGTAAACACAGTCTGAATTCTAACTACCCTTTAAGTGCTTATTTGAGTTTATGCAGAGATAGAAATGTCTTGAAACACCCTTAGTCAAAGCACAATGGCAGTTCATTATATTTCATGCCAGTTAAATGATGTATCCAATCCTTCATATTCAATGAATTTCTTGCGTTTGATAGTTTCTATCATCCAATGACCATATTTGTACACAGGGGTACCCACTGGGGGAGCCTTGAGAACTGGAGACCTGTTTATGTCAGTGTGGTAACTGGGTTCCATAAAGAAAGGCACAGAGTAACGGTCAACTCCAATATCCACAACACGATGACGTGTAGCCTTTAAATGACCTCCACAAAATTGCACCAAGAGATCACCAATATTAACCACCAAAATGCCAGGTTTGGGCTCAACTGCCATCCACTCACCATCTTCTCCAATGACTTCCAGGCCTCCATTGTTGAATGTTTCCAAAAGAGTAATCAAACCTGTGTCATGGTGATCGTCGCATGTCAGAATCTTACCATCATTTGATATACAAGTGTTGGGAATGCTGTCTGCAGAGAGAAATTATTTCTTCTTAGAATCTTTAAACCAAACACTGGTGACAAAGATTAGTATGACCTTTTGATCTTAGGATATTTTAAAAAATTGTAACAAAGTTAATTTTCCCTTGGTAATCAATTTTTCTATGGTAATAGTCTGTAGTGTAACCACAGCTATTATACAAATTTGTATAACAGAATAATATTGCCTCATCTGTATAAAATGGTACCTTCCCCTTCTTGTAAGGATACCATTAGGTTTTATCTCCCTAAAGTGTAAAGAATTTTTTTGTAACCTTTTCACTCTTGATATCTCATTTGTTAGTACTCCATATTTACTCTCTACCATACAACCTTCTTGATGCTAGTCGGGAGAATTTGTTACTCGATCAAGAAGTAATTCTCTAATTGATGTTTTTCTTAATTCTCATCACTTGACTGCTTGGTATCGTATTGATATTATGGAGAGAAATTCTGTCCTGGTCTTTCATGGGAGTTAAAGAGTTAAAACCGTCGAGTTAACATTTCAGTCTTTAACTAGGCATACCTCCGCGCGGGGGATAATGTAGAAGTCTGAGAGTTGACAAAGGCTTCTTTACGATCATATCATCAAAACAGTGCTCATCAAAACCCAAACCAAGAGCCAGGAGACGAATCAAGTCAACAGCTGCTTGGTGCATCGATCTGAAATAAGATGTTATGATTTCCTTGAACGGAATGGCTTCTTCAATCGGCCACTGAGGGTTTTCATACAGCCTGTTACCATTCAGTATGTCGGGGTCGTCAGATGGTAGCGTCACGCCGCATTCGAAAGCTTCTTTATGGCTCGAATTGTTTGGGTCTTCTCCGGTTGGAAAATATCCCCTATACACGTTTTTGCAGTTTTTATTCCACCTCTTCCTTGTTACTTCAAATTTCTTTTCCAGCGGCTGAGTAAAGAACCACTTACACGCCTCTAACAGACCATCGGGATTAACTCCTTCGACATTCTGGAGGAGCAGAAAGCCAATGGTACTCGTGGCTTTAACGAGATCTTTGGCAAACGCTTCACGATCAGCCTTTGCCCTTGTCATATCCATAAGTGGTAAATTAGCTAGTTTTGTCTCCATTTCTTCCGGCGGGAAGGTGCTGAGAGGGTTCGCTCGAATGCAATGATTTCGGGAAACGTTTAAGCATGTTCCAAAATCGATTACTTACCCGGGTCTACTTAGGTCAAAGATTTGCACCCGAGCCTGGAAGGGTGGCGACTGGGGTTGACCTAGCCTTTTTTTCCCCAATTGAAAGGACCTGTAACAATTTTTATTATTAGACAAAGCTGACCGAACTTAATGAACTTCACGTCCACATTCTAAACATCAGCTTTTGTTCGTACTACACGAACTACTACTACTACTATTACTACTACTGCTACTCCTTGATGATCGTTTGAAAGCAGCAACTCTGTGCAACCTACCGAGCACTTATTATTTCCCCTTGGAAATTTGATAAAAATCGGTTTGCAGAACATTGCTAAAGAAGTTGACTGCGTTCTTCTGGGACAAGCACACTGTCGTTACCGAGGTTGGATGGGAAAATGTCGATATTTACACTAAGCATTGTTAAGGTAATTCCTCCGAAATAAAAGTTCTGAAGATAATAATCTCTTGAAGTTGTCGAACGCCGGATTTTTTCTTGAAACTTCGTCCAGCGAGAAGACGTTAAGGCCGGGTTCAGTTCGAATGCAGCGGTTTGTTATTGTGCATCGGTTAAGTCATGCAGATACTTACCCGGGTCTCCCCGTGTCTACCCGGGGTAAAGTCAAGCGCCTGAACCAGGCAGGTTGTGGTTAGGGTTGCCTTATCCGGGTCGACTAAACGTTCATTTTTGTGACTCCTGCGTCCTAGTAGGCAAAGCCGCTATGTTACGGGAGTGGTTGGGTGAGTGATGGTATTAACACTTCTTTGATCTTTTTACTTAAAATAACAATGGGACAGTTTGCCCCGCAAATAGCTAGAAAGCTATAATCGTGGCGGGGCCGAAGACAAGTGCCTGAATAACATAAATCGTCTAGTATCTTAGGACAAGGAGTTGTTATTTGCACAGTCACAGAGTCACACAGAAAAAGATAAGAAGACATTTAAACCATTTGAAGGTGTATCTATGTACCTACTTTTTTAATGATCATGGGGATTTGAATGATAGTTATCTTCTTTTTCTAAGATATCCAGTTTTTGGGAGATCCGTTATACAGCTTGATATCTTATTCCACAGCTTTGCTCCGATCCGAGAGAGGGAATTGTTTTGTATTTCTAGTCTCGAACTTTTAACATAAACATTTCCATACGTAAACGATCGTGTACCGTATGAATGAATATTAGATGTTTTCTGAAATAGATTTAGTATGTTTGCTGGGGCTTTATCATTATTGATATCGTGCAACAATGGAGTTCCGAACCAATTTTGACCCGACGTTCTCTCCCTTTTTGATTTCTGGCTTCTATCAACAAGGGCTACCATCTAACTTATACAACTTCTATTCTTTTCAATGCTATAAAAATTGTGAGTATCAGTAGCCACATGAAATTTAAGACTGCCTATTTTTCTCAGTTGAAAGGACTGTTAAATAAAATAAATAAATAGTCTTTGTTTCACTGATAAAATTCATATCAAGTGTTACATATAAATTGAAATGGGCTAAAATATGTATTAATTACTTACAGCTAAGTTAGGCTTAAAATTAAGTCTGTTAATAAAAGAATTTTTAAAACGCTCAGTATTGCAAAGTGGATATATTGGCTTAACTTGCCTAAGCCTACGGGTAGCAGAGTTAATCCTGGGAAGGGAGTGGTGCAATGGATGATGTTCCCACGCGCTTAATTTTTTGAAGATACCTATATCAGACTTATCTAAGCAATTGATAATAGAAACCGGAGAAGGCGTGTATCTACGTTTGTAACAACGATCCAGGAAGCATTGTATGGTAGTAAGTTCTGGTGGAGATGAACCATATACTGATATTCCGTACGTAAGTTTAGGCAGAACCAGAGCGCTGAATAATTTATTCAACTGTGCCTGACAATAACCCTCTCTCCTAAGAGTTCGTAATATATAGGCATTTATTAGCTGCGGCCAACTTATTCTTGATGTGAATAGAGAACCTACAATTTTCTTGAAATATAACCCCCAAAGTACATAGATGTGAATGTTGGGGGATATTCTTTACTGTGTCTAATACATTCTTGTAGCCCCTCTTTCGGAAAACCATTTCTTTACATTTAGAGAAATTACATTTAATGGAATTATCGATTGACCATTCTGTAAAGTTATTAACTACATGAGCAGCAGTATTATTATCACTATCACCCTTCCAAACCGGAATGATTAGAGTGGAGTCATCTGCATATTGTCATCTGTTAACTAAATTGTCAGCAAATACTGAGTACCAGGCGAAGCTAATCGAACTGACTGAACTCCGCGCGCGCACAAACATATCCGCAAATTTATCCGATAGTTAGGCGGACTGACCATTTCAGCTCAAAGCTGGTTTAAATGAGGTCTGTATGAACAATAACAAGGCCAGATCACAACATCGGAAGCTACGTTCCATGCTCTTTGCGGGAAGTAAGTGGCTTCTTTTACGTCCCCTTCAAACAAGTACAAAGAAGATGTTGGAGACAGGACCAACGGTTTATCGTCCTCCTCCGAAAAGACTAGAATGTCCAACCATTTGCCGATGTCATAGCAAAGGCAGCACAGTCACCTCGCACCTCACTTATTTTAAGACCCTGAGTGTTGGTCCGGTCTGGGGCTTGAACTCTCGACCTCCAGCACAGCAGTTCGGCGCTCTACAGCGTGAGCTGACTAAGCGCGATTTTACTAACATTTAACTTCTTCTTAAAAGGAAATACCATGTCAATTAAGACGAAGCTATCTTTCATATACTTCTAATAGGCAGTATATACTTATCAGGTCTTCTACAAAAAAAATCAGGTGATTACTTTGTTCATCGACTTTACAGACCCCTCCCCTCGCAAATACGTTGGGAATTCTGATTACTTTGCGGATGCAATCTGGGATCAAAAGACTGGTAAGTCACATTTCGAAAAATCTTGGAGGAAGAGTGACATTGATTGGCCTTGCACGTGGACACTAGCCAGTACGTGCTCGTGCCACTAAGTTGAAATTATTTATTTATTCTGTATTTTTGTAATTTTCTAATTTATAGTGTTTTTTAATTCATAATGGGCGGCGCCTCGCATGGAACTTTACGTCCCGTTTGCGCCTTCCCTTTTGGGTTCAGTTTTATCTCAGTTTCTCTTCTGTTTTCTATTTGTTATTGTATTATTGTACTTTTGCCTTGTTCAAATATTTATCTGATATGCCCTGTAATGATCAGCGGTATTACACGTTATGGACATGCACATGTAGAGAACACATGAGCATCGTTTTGTAAAGAGGTTGGATTTTAAAATTTTAAAAACTGTTATCAAGATCCATCGTGTTTTCGGATAAAGAATATTACATGCCCAATAAGGTCGTTTAAAAAAAAAAAACGAGTGTGAGCCGCGTCCATATGACGTCATAACTTTTGGTCAGCAGTTCGCTGATACGGTCTCGAGGGAAAAGAGGAAGTGAAGAGGCCAGAAGAGATGTAGAGGTAGCAAAACTTTTACTTTGATGGTTGGTTTGCGTCAACAGGAAGTCATCTACGTCACAGAGAGCAAGTTTACATCTACGATTCTAAATTTGGTTTATCTCGAAGGTGTAAATCCGTTACAAACTTTGCGATTACGCCAACCTTTTCCGGTCTATTGCGGCCTCTAATTTGTGGGCTGGTGCGGGCGCCATATTTGTCGTTCCACCAGCGAATTAAAGGTGAGTTAAGATGACTAAATGCAAACTAACGGGTGAATAGACTTTGTAGGAAAATTTAATTTTAGATTCATATAAACTAGTGCAGATAATTAATAATGTGAGCGCGAAGGCTTTGCTGAACAGTTTTGACGTCTGATCACGATACGATAGGTGTACCTTTGTACTTTGTCTGAGGTCTTTGTGGTGACCCGGATTTATTTATGCATCATTGTGATCAGATCCGATTCCCGGGCATTCCTGTGAGACGTTGTAGATTTAGTGGTATAGGCGTGGATGGAAATGCATTTCATCGTTTCAAGACAAGTCACAAACGCTCCTATTTATTACACCTTTCGTTCAAACAATCATTCAAAATCGTCACGTACTGGTTGAAAAGGTATCGGTCTGCAGTTTCATCTCTGAATTTAAACATTCACTCATCGATTCAGTTTTGCTGTTTGTATGCTTGATCTTATTCTGGGGAACACATTTTATTCTTACATCCCAACAGCACTATGGTATGATGAAGCATCATTATTGTAGATTATTTAGGGTAATTTGTTTAGTTGGTGTCAAGGAAACTTACCCAGTACCTTGTAAATTCATTCTTCCATGCTGAGCGCAGGACAAACAAAAGTTTACATGCGAGAATTCCGCTCATAATTTTAATATAGAAACTGAATCACTCTGAGCTGGACAACTTTTATTGTAAGAAATATATATAGAAAAACAAATAGTAGACAATCATTCATGGGCATTAAGCATTCACGTGCATCGAGTTATGCTAGGACAATTTAGGTAATTTAATGTTGAATCTATTTTCAGTTCTATGAATATTTTGTAAAACCCTTGAAGAAAAGAAGGCTACCGGTATCTTAAGTGCTCACTTATAAGCTGGAATCTGTGGAGTTTACTTAGTATGACAATAAACTACTTCAAAACTATAGAACTTTCAACAAGTGATATGATATGTATACTGAGGATTTTGATTGTATGCCAAGTCCTAAGAATGGTCCATCTGTATGAATTACAGCTGACGAAAAAACCATAGGGGTCATCTATTTTTGGTAAATCTCACTTTTGCAAGAAGTCAGTCGGTTGAGCTTTAGATTTTAGGCTGAGGCTAAAATTTAAGCAGCATACAACTACTTGAAAGACCGTTTTCTTCTCTTGAATTCATTAAGATATCTGGAAAGTTAATGTTTTAAATTGGAGAAGTGGTCTGACAATAGCCCAACAGAAAGACTGACCATCTTTTTAATGTGCTTTATAGAAATCAACTGAAGAGATAATAATTATGGCTGAATTCTGGAGATATCTTTCATTATATTTTTGGTACCGGCGAGTGGTGAAAATTCTTCTTCATTTTTCTACTGGTCAATGCGAGTTACAGCGAATTTGTTACAAGACAAGACATGGAGCTTTGAGAACAGGCCAAGTTGGTGAGTAAGGATGTGAAAACTGAGAGAAAGAATTAAAATCAGAGTCTGTTTTAAATTTTTAATTTTTTAGAATATTCAACTGGAATTGAGGTACAGGGTTCTTTATTATTTGACTGATGAGAGGTTTCTTTGTAATTCTACACTTGATTGGCGCACACAGATTCATTCATGTTTTCAACTTGGAAGTTTATTTTAGGAGACATGGGAGACATGGTTTTGCCAATATGATCAAGTACAAATAGAATTAGAGAAACAAAGGCCTATAAACTTTTTGAATTGTTTATCTCATTTTTATTAACCTGTCATTCACATTTCAACAGAAAAATCCTTGAGGCAGTCAAAATCCAAGGTTGGTGAATAAATTGATGATCAAGAGGTTGTAATGATGACGTTTATTCAATCTGTTAGTGCCAGTTAATCACACAAGGTCTAACCCAAACCACTGTAGTTTTACACAAGCAGCTGCATGTGGACCTCAGGGATATTCCATGAGAGGTTGATTTAGTCATGAATTGCCCTATTGCCCTTCCACTATCACCCATTGGCATTCTTGATACTGTTCACAAAAATAATAATGTTCTAATAAAAGGTTTTGGCTTAATTAAAGGTGGCACAGTTTTGTCAAACAATAGCTAACTTTTGTTTAATAACCAGCCCTTACACTTCCAGGAGTGACAGAAATGTTGCCTAAGGGATATCGTTTGATTAATCCTCAATTTCCCAGAGCCTTCAACTCACAAAAAATTTATCACGGAAAGGAGAGAGAATTGATAAAGAGATCTAAGAAGTAAAAGAGCCATCCAATTCACCCATTCCTAACTTCATTCTCTCTAATGAGTTAACACAAGTGCAGAAATTGTAGCATTTTTTGAAGAGAGAAGACAAGAAGCATATTAATTTTTAATCAACTAATTCTGTCAATGTACTTTTGATGTTAGGAACTCTCAGATTTAGTGGATGCAGCAAATGTGAATATTCAGGAAGCACTGGAATTGATTATAAGAGTGAAAAGGATAAGACGGGCGCAGGAAAGTGTGTAAGTGGTTTTACTTAATGATGCAACTAAACTTTTGTGTGAACAAAAGAAATTACACTGATTGTATTCAGAAAACCATGAACATCTGAAATATTTCAGGAAGTTTTATCCAAGCTCAGGAAACTCAAGCAAACCACAAAACCACAAACTCATCATCACTAATGCCTACAGATTAGTGGACTTCCTCTTTTAAATGCAGCATCATACCAGAAATATTTGTGGTGTTATCCCAGTTTTAATGTTTCTTGTGAAGTCAAGTCAACTGCTTTCAACCAAATTAAAGCCTGACCATTTTGAAAAGTGTAGGTTGCTTTTCATCTGAACAGATCTTGTCTAGAGGCCATTTTTTATCAGGCTGTTTTTCTATATGTCTTCTGAGTAATTTTTGTTTTGAGAAATCTAATGTAAAGCCTCCTGAGGTATAGGTATCCTCGACAAAGATTTCCCTGTTCTTTTTTTTTTTTCATCTACATAACTGATATTATGTCATAACTCCAGAATCCATTCTTTGGTTTGGTTGTGTTCTTTCCAAACAGTTACTGTTACACATGCCTTTGAATAATTAAAAAAATGTATACATTTAATTGAACAGATGATTTGTTCAAAGACAAGTGTTACTTATTTGTCTTTTATTGATTTTTGAACCAATCTCTTTCAGTTTTGTGGACTCTGTATCTATCTGCCTGAATCAGATATGTGGTTATACAGACCTTTGCCATGATGCTGAACAGTTGAGAAACCAGCCATACTCATCTGACGATGCCAGTCATGAAAAGAAGTTAATGCAGGTGCTGTAGCTTATGAAATTTGCTTTTACTGATATGAAATACTGTGTTGTTTCTTTTGACCATTTTTTTTTTACTGTAAACTGACCATGTTTTAATTAATTAAAATGTAATAGCTCTGGAACCTGTTGATGCCAGATACACCACTGAAGGAGAGGATCAGTAAGCAATGGGGAGACATTGGTTTCCAAGGAAAAGACCCTAGGACAGATTTCAGAGGAATGGGTATGTTGTAGTTCAACCTTTTATCTGCCAAGAACTGATTGCTGATTCTCCTCTCTAGCTGCTAAATATTTCCTTGTAAATTAGTTACAAGAATTTGGTGTTAGATTAAGATAACAAATTCTACCTGTCTGATAAGTTTGAGAATTCTCATAACCTGTTTGCTAATATGTGAATGCTAAAGGGAGAAGTTACATGTTAATCACATCACAGGAGTCAGTTATTTTACTCTCCTTCAACTCATCTTTTGTCTTTTTGGGAGGTTTTTTTTTTCCTTTTGCGCCCATCGCTTAATTTTTGTTGTGTTTTCCTTTTGTGTTTTAAATTTTTCCAAGCATTTTGAATAAATTTATGTTTGGCTGTTTGAAAGTGAGGCTATTAAAACAAAAGCTGATGGGATTTACATGTAATTGCTCAATTGTGCACTGTGTAACTAAATGATTATACTGTGCAAAGTAAAGAGGTTATCCATAATGAAAGCTTTTTTTAAATTTTAAAGCTTTTAAACTGATAGGCTATGCTCTATTTCAGGTGTCCTTGCACTGGAGAATTTATTGTAAGTATATTTAATGATGTTTATGTTTAGAAATATGTTTGTTTTGTATTTAAGGCAAGGTTAACCTGAGATTAACTTTTTGTTATCTCCACTTTTTTAATTTTTAGATATTTTGCATCAAAACACACACCTGCAGCAAGGAAAGTTTTGTCTCAGTCTCATCATCCGCATTTTTGGTGAGCCATGTCTGAAAAGTTATCAATTACTGTTTAACCAACTGGGAACAAAGGTACCTCTTGTGTGAAAGTTATCCAAGAAGGACTCATCTAAACCATATGATAATCATGATAGTGCAGGGGTTTCATTAAGGGCCGAAACTGAGCAAATCAACTGGCTGCAAGGATGCATTTGCCTGCCTGGTTTGACCATCTAGAGGAAAGTTTATCCTAGAACAAAGTTCAGTTCAAAAAGCTTTTTTGCCAGCCTGTGAAAACCAGTTGCCCGCCTGCTGAAATCATTAATCAAGCCTGATAGTGTTACACCTAAGTTCAATAGGGAGCCTTCTGGCCCCTTCTTACGGTTCCTTATCACAGTTTTATTGGCATCAAATGACAAGGGAAATTACCAGTATCTGTTACTAATCCTGCCTATAGGTTATCATTTTGTCTTTTGCAATGTACCCTTTCTGCAGTCCCTAGATTTCTTGAAAGTTTAATGACCACCAAGCGGAGAGATGCTCCTTGAATGTCAAAAGTGCCAAGAAACAAATCTCAATGAGCCTGCCCAATGCAGGTTTCAGGGCATCATTTCTCAGACAATGTTTTGACTTATAATAATTGCTTCTTGTTGTTTGCTACAAGGTTCTCTTATGCCATTGCTGGTATTAACATCACTTCACTAGCTCTTCAGTTTTTGAACAAAGGATCTCTAAGAAGTCATTTCTACAACTGCAAACAAGGCAAACCAACAGTAGATGACTTTCATGAAGTTTATAGTGAGTATTCTCTGAACATCTTGAACAAGAAAAAGCTGCAACAACTAACAATACGAATATGCCTAACTGAATAATTCACATTTGTAGAAGGGTGTGCCCATATGGTGTTGGTTCTTATTTTAATTTAACCCCAAATTCAAGCAAGTACAGGTACAGTCAGTGGTTTATTTCAATTTGTTTTGTGTAAGATCTTCCATGACGACATATTATCCATAGCTGGGTAGAGGCCCAAGGTAAAATCCAAACTAAGGGATATTGTGTGGGTGACAATATAACAAGACCTACATGTATAGTGCTTCAGGTAGTTGGCCAGAAGGTTGGATTGGGGGAAGTCATTAATTACCTTACTATAAACATGATTTGTATGACAAGGCAAGAGCACAATTTGCTATTGCCATTTGCTATCCTTAAAGTGGTGATTTAAATTTTTTTTTCTCTTTCTAGGTTATTTGTTTTTTGAGTTTAGTGCTTTTTGGATTAAGGAAGAACCTGAGAGTGTCATGATTTTCAATCAAGTCAGGGATAAATTTGCAGACAATATTGATACAATTCTCAAGAACCCAAGTACTGTTCTGGAATTAAAATATACATCAATACAGAGTTCTGCATCTTTATCATCTGTATCCACATTGGAGTGACCTGTTCTGATCTTTGCATATTATAAATAATTTTTTAAATACTATTTGTACCAGTTTGAGAGTTCTCTCCTCAAGTGTTTGTGGATAGTGAAACTGCACCCTTTTGCCAGGCAGCTGGTCAGTCTCAGCTCTGCCGTCACCTAAGAGAATTTGCCAGCTGGCCTAATTTTGCATCCGGTGCAATACTATTTCTTGTAAATAAAATCTCCCACAATTAAAATTATTGAAAATTTTGTATCGACATTAAATAGGAACAAAAGTTCAGAATGTGTTAGTTAGGAGTTGTTTAACAGAGTTAAGTGATGAAACTTGCAGTTGAGATAATTAATGATTTTTAGTAGAAGATTTCTAGTATTCTCTAAAGACAATGATAACAGTAAGGGAAAAAATTAGCCAGAGGGAATCGACTGGATGATATAGGTTTACCAATAGCCATTAAACAACTACTTTTTTCACACAACTCTCAATTTTTGTTTTTGTTTTCTTTTTTGCCCATGATGCCGTGAATATCTATGGTGAACATAAATAAAGTCAATATGTAAAATCTGCTAGGAACATGCCACTTTTACATTCTTCTACATCTACATTTATTAGAGTTAGTAAAACCTTGAGAGGTATCGCACCAACTATAACAAAATTTAGAAAACTATCAAAAATATATATATATTGAAAAAATATATATATATTAATAAAAAAAATGTGACCTGGAAATTTTATTTGACTGAGCTGAATTTTTTTGTGACCAGCAACCAAGCTGAAGTTTCTAATTTGGGCAAAGGGAAAAATCTTACTATCAAGGTTTGCTACCAGGCTCATTTGAAGAATTCCTTGACATACCCCTTTTGGAAGTGAAGAGACTAGGTTTTATCATTCTTTGGTCGCATGTGTAAATTTTTAAAAAAGTCGGCCACAAAGTGGATTTGTCCAACATCACAGACCTTTGACCAAAAATGGCCAGTGTAGCCTTGGAATAAAGAGTATTGCACCAGTTGATGATCCGCAAGTTTTAAACAGACAAACCCAGTACAGCAGATGAGAGCTAGAATCATTGAAATTCGTGATTTTTCAGTCCCTAAACAAGGTTTCGACTGTGTCCTCAGAGAATAAACAAGAGCTGCAAGGATATGAAGAGCAAGAACTGCTTCAAAGCCTTGATTGTGAAATAACACGGCAAAGTAACTTAAGACAGAAATTCGCATAATAAATAGAAAACGACCAGTATTCCATTGTCCTCGATACACAAACTCGTTCCAGCAAACAAGCCATGCAAAGAAAGGAAGAGTAAACCATTGATCAATAACAGCGAACAAACGCGTCTGTGTCACAATCCGTCCAAACTGAACAAAGGAATAAAACACCGACATCCACGAGAACAAGTAGTAGAAGAATGCTTGATCTTTCACCTCTTTTTCTAACTTGCGTATCTTCCACAACCAGTATAATCCAACCAGTAAATAGCCCAAGTTCACCGAGGCATTTGCAGGCATTTTAAGGAAAGTAGAAGGATCTCCCTTCTCTGCATAATGTTCCAGTCCGAGTTCAACATTTACACGCTCGAAGATCGTAAAAAACCATACAGTGGCAAAGGCTGACACGAGAGGAAAGAAGACATAAAGAAAGGAGGACAACAACATGATCAGTTCATCACTGATCGGAAAAATCCGGTCAGTCCTTTGTATTCTCTGCCATCTTGAATTTCCAAGACTACAAAGCTTGGGCACGAGCATATATCAGCGGCAACCTGATAAAGTACAGGCGTACTTGCTCTGAAGCCGCGATCACTAGCGGCTATTTGCAGAAGTATTGCATATTGCCAGGACCTGATGAAGATAACGTGATTTCTCGATAAAGTTAGCAACAATTTCACCGAGTTTCATAACAAAAAACATGTTGTCTTTCGTCCGCCGTACTTATGGGTTATCCTCAAGAGCGCCAGAGGTAGGTCGATTCAATTCTGAGGTAACTGTTATGCCATCTGATTTCTTACGACTGTTGAATCATCACTTTTCAGTTCTTGAGAGTGTCTGGACGGTCTGGAAGATGTCTGCCTGCAGCAGCCACCAGATGTTACACAACAGATGGTAAATAATTGTAATAATTATTAACTAGAATGGAAATTTTATTGCCACCTTCATTATATTATCAAACCTTGTTGCATGTCTCACTCCCCTAGTTAAACAGCAAAGATATTGAACATTTTATGGGTAACTATCAAAGTTATCAGTAATGCTTGGAAATTATTAAGTTTGTCATTTTTATGATTATGACAATATTGCAATGTACTGCAGTACAAAATGTAAATTCGAGAATGAATTGTCCTGCTCATTGCCTATCAGAATGAATTTAATTTGTCAGTCCGTTGAACCAACTAGGTTAAAGTAGTGAGAAATACCAACACTTCTTCCTCAAAAGATTTTATTTTCCTGAAAATTCAGACTTCAAAGGGAAATTAGGAAAATCTTAACTGTCCAGAGTGTAAATTATCCCATGGAAAATAAAAAAGAAAAATATTATTTCAAGTTTGAAGGAAGTTGAAGTCAGTTACAGCTCAAGTTGCTGGAAAGCAGCATATTTTCAGGTGTAGTACATGACCTCTTTCATTCACATGTCTTTTGTGGGCATCTTGAGTTATATATTTGGTTTCAAGAAGGGAGGTGTACATTGTTTGGTTATATAGTGTATATTATGTTTAAAAGAGGAAAATAACAACACTCTGTTACATGTCTTTTAGTCTTTTGACGTGTTTGATAAGCTGGTACTTTCAATTAAATGTCAACCTTGTAATCTTTGTTTGCACCCAGTTACATGGAGTTGAATATATGATACACATGTACGTTCGTCTTGATGGATGGTTTATTTAAAATTATATTTTTTTACGTTGTTTTAGGGGAAGTCGATCTTGTAGTGGTTGGATCAGGTCCTGGGGGATATGTGGCATCCATCAAAGCAGCCCAGCTTGGAATGAAGGTTTGTAGGAAAACATGAATTTTTTTAAAAAATGACAAGGAAAATGTTGCATATTAATCAGTGATTTTTGAGAGTTTGAATGTCAAAATGCTTTACTTGGTTTTAATTCTTTTGTTTCATAGACAGTATGTGTTGAAAAAGAAAAGTCATTAGGAGGAACTTGTTTAAATGTTGGATGTATTCCATCAAAGGTGAGTCAATGAAAAAATTTATTCATATATATGAATAAGTTGTTGATGTGTATTCCAAAAAATTGAAACAGAAAAATGATCAGATAGGAGGGGCTACCTCTCAGGTGAATCTAACCACCCCCCCCCCCCCATCATGTTTGTCTTGAGAAAAAGTTATGATTCAAGGCTGTACTCTAAGAAAAATTGAAAGGAGCCCAGTGCTCTGAAACTGTAAAAACCAGGGTGCCCAGCATATGCTTTTTATGAAAAAACTAAGATTCCTGAGTTGCCCAAGAGCAAAAGTAAGGCACCAGGGGCCACCGGGTGCTGCTAGACCACAGCCCTGTGATTTGTTATAGAGAAACAACTTGACATGCCCCGAAATGTAAGCACAATGTCACTGTGGGAGCACCCCCTGGAAATTTTGCTTTAAATTCTCACTTATGAACTTTTTTCATATTGGACTGTTTTTGAAAGCAAAACATGGCTTTATTTTGTTGTTCCTATGAACAAAAAAAAACATTGATGTGATTTACGTGATAAACGGATGGCTGCATTGAACTTAACATTTTGTAACCATAAAGTGTAGTATCTACGTGTATATTGTTGTTAAGATGTGTCTTTTAGAGAAATTAAGTATGAATATTGGCAATGAAGTAGAACAATTCTAAAATTCAGACTGATTATCATTTACAGGCATTACTGAACAACTCACATTTGTAACATCAAGCTGTTACTGCTGATTTCAAAAACAGAGGAATAGAAGGTTGATAACACTTACTTTACCAATTGCACCATAAACTTTCAATGTTAAATTAATGATAACTAAACTCGTCAATGAATTAAAATTTTATTTCTTACATTCCCTCAACTTTACAGTGGGTGAGGTAAAACTGAATCTAGAAAAAATGATGGAACAAAAAACAACAGCTGTAAAGACACTGACAAATGGAATAGCTCACTTGTTTAAACAGAACAAGGTAATGGCCACATTAATACTGATGCTGTAGTTTCAACAGAGTTGCAAGTTTTGCAAGTGTGGTATTCAAGTTTATCCATCTAGCTTTCAAAAACTGTAAGCATTGTCAAGATTAGCTTAATTCATGAATTTTACCATAATCCTCTCAGCAAATATTATTTTGATATGCCAATCCCACAAATTTCTCTTTGTGGGTCAGCACCCATATACAGCATCAAGGGACAAAGTTATCTGGCTATTGTGCTTGTAAATGTATGATATCTCTCATCCCTCTGTCAAATCCCTCTCTTTATCCTTACATGACTGTTTGTAGTTGTTGCTCCACCCTACCCAAGAGAAAAGTTTGTACTCAGGCCTATTGACCCACCCAGCCTGAGTATATCCTGGTTTCCATGCAGCATGAGGTGACTGGGAGTATTACTACTTCCCCCTAGATGGGATGCTAGTCCATCATGAGGTTACCCCCAAGCATTTCATCAAGCTTCCCTGAGAATTCTCCAGCAGCCATTCTATACTCCTGTGTGGAGAGAGGCACTATGAGAGTAAAGTGTTTTGCCCAAGAACACAGCTCAGTGTCCCTGGCTAGGGCTCTAACCCAGACCTCTTGACCAGGAGTCCAGTGCACTGACCACTAGACCACTGGATCTCCTGAGCTACCCAGGGGAGTTGTATAATACTGTTATTAATAATTGTTACTATTCATATTCCTGAAATGTATCCTATTTTATAGGTAACTCGGGTAGATGGACATGGTTCTATATCTGGACCAAATGAGGTGAGATCAAAATAACACTCTTGCTCTTCTTTACAGTTGTGAAAGAGCAAAATGAAGTGTAATTTTCTATTGTTTTCATGACCTTATGCAGCTTCGTATCTTTAACATTCTTAACACTTCACTACTTGAAAAATTTCAATCTTGGCACACAAACAGATAGGTTGTCTTTTTCATCTTTGTGTGTTTGCATCTACACAATTTCTCATCTAACAATACTAGTTACAGCTGGATTGTATTTTTCTTTGAAGTAATCACTCTTATTTGTGTTATTGTTTTCAAGGTGACAGTTCATAAGGAGGATGGTAGTGCAGAAGTAATTCAAACCAAAAATATCTTGATCGCCACTGGGTCTGAAGTGACACCCTTCCCTGGAATTGAGGTGAGAATTAGATAGCCTGCAGTGCCGGCGTATTTTGGGCGCGTGAGTGCACATTTTCATATTAGGCCGCCATCATAGATTTAGTAACTGTGGAGGACTGGGGCGAGGAAATATTTCTGTAATCCTGTAATCAAGTTTAATGTCTTTGCGTGGGGCATGGTTGCCCATATTGCCTGAGCCAGAGGCTCATATAATCGCAAGACAACACCCACCCATCCCACCCCAGGGGAGGACATCCATCACACAGTAATCTCGTGCGTGGGAAATTAACGTCTCCTACCCCTAACCCTGCAGGAGACGGGACCTCCATTTATTCGTCCCTATCCGAGAAGACTAGAATATCTAAACCATTTCTTGATGTTATAGAAAGGCAGCATATTCTTCTCAATTATTTTAAGACCTTGAGTGTTGGTCCGGCCGGGGCTCGAACCCTCGACCTCCNGGTGTTATCTCCCCTGTTGCCCATTTTTCCACTTAACACCTACTCCCTCGGCAAATATTTCCTCGCCCCAATCCTCCACAGTTACCAAATCTAAGATGGTGGCCTAATACGAAAATGTGCACTCGTGCGCCAAAAATATGCCGGCGCTGCAGGCTAAGAATTAGAAGGAAGTTGTCATGATGTTTGGTGTCATAATTGACCAATTCTAATGCATTTGTGCTATATAATCAAGAAGCAAAAAATTGTTTATGGTGACATCATCTATGCATAATTCAGCTCAGCAAAGTCACTTACAAAATGACCCTGATGTTATGATGTCATAATATTCCTTTCACAGTTTGATGAAAAAGTTGTCATTTCCTCCACTGGTGCACTATCCCTTAACAGAGTCCCAGAAAAATTAATTCTTATTGGTGCTGGTGTTATTGGGGTTGAATTGGTAAGTTGATCGCACAGTCAAGAATTTCAACATTCTCTTTTAGGCGCAAGACATGGTTTTTACTCAAATGAAATGTTCACCACACAAATGTATAATGGTTTTCAGTCATAGGACTGCACAATTTGTCAAGAAACATATATATTTTGACATACCAATATGTTGTTGCTGTGGCGTTTACCAAATTCTGTCCACTGTTGATTGTATAGACAAGAAATGTGTGCTTCAGGATTTCAATACTCTAAGACTGCCGTAGTTGAAAGGAAACTAAAGTTTTGCTCATAAATTGCTGTTCAAGTTTGCACATGACATTTAAGGTTGCAATGCTACTGGTTTGTTTTCTAGGGTTCAGTTTGGTCCAGGCTTGGCTCACAAGTGACAGCTGTTGAATTTTTGGGACATATTGGGGGAGTTGGTATTGATATGGAAGTTGCGTAAGTTAACATCATTTTATTCAGTACTGAGCTTAATACTTACCCTTTGCATGGCTTCTCTTAGTGATAAATAACTTTCTAGTGTTGTCCAGTTCCCTCAAGACCACCACGTGTATAGATGACCATTTTGGTCTTATCAGTCCCT